ACACACAAACTAACTCTGCCAAGTGTGCTAGATAGCTTTAGTTGTCAATTTGACACATCTGGGTAGAGGAAACCTCAGTTGAGGAATTTACTCCATTGGTCTGGCCTACAGCCATATATGTGGGGCATTTTCTTGATTATTGAGTGATGGGGGAGGGTCCAGCCTACTGTGGGCAGTGCCACCCCTGGGCAGGTGGTCCTGTATTATGTAAAAAAGTAGGCTGAGCACTTTCCAGGGGAGCAAGCCAGTAAGCAGCATTCCTCCATGGTCTGTGCTCCAAGTTCCTGCCCTGAGTTCCTGCTTTGGCTTCCCTTAATGATAGACTGTGAGCGAGCTATAAGCCGAATAAATCCTTTCCTCCCCAAATTGGTTTGATTAGTGTTTTCATCACAGCAGTAGAAAGCTAACTAAGACAGAAGTTGGTACCAGGATTGTAGGATATTGCTGTGATGCACCTGACCATATGTGTCTGGGAGGATTGTGGAAGAGCTTTGAACTGGAAAACTGCTTTGAAAACAGCAATAAAAAGCAAACTAAGACAAAAATTAGTACCATAGAGTGGGATATTGCTGTGATGGACCTGACCATATGTGTCTCGGAGGACTGTGGAAACATATACAACTTTGAGCTGGAAAAGCCATTGAATGCTCAGAGCTTAGTGAGCTGTTACTGTGGAGCTTGGAACAGTTATATTGAAGAGAAATGTGGATGATGGAGGCGTGACATGTGACTTTTTAAGGTAAGCAAGACTCTATCAAGGCTGTTTGTGTGAGAATGTTTAGAAGTGAAACCTTTTGTGTTTTACTGGAACAACTGATGATGGTTAGTTAGCTGGGGCTGAAAATCAGTTGTGAATAAAAAGAGACTACCATCATTGAGGTGAAATCTTCTGAGAAGTATTTCCTCAGGGTCAGCACACAGAAGGTATGATCCCAAGGATACCCAAGCTCTATATCAAACTAGAAGCAGGACTGGGCAATATGTAAGCATCTCCTATATGGTACTGGTTTTGAAGGCATGAAAGAGTTATGGAGAGGATCTGAGGTTTGGTATCATGTAAGCCCAGAAGAAGCCCTTGGTGAAGGTGAAGCCTTGGTTGAATGGGCAACCTCAGCACATCGGAAATGCCAGGACCATGGGATGACCACCAACTGAGGAGGCAGGTGTAGAGTGGAGCCAGCTTTAGCCTATAAGACAAGCTGTGTGTGCTGTGGATGGCAGAGCCAGAGAACTGGAGCAGCCCAAGTCCTTTGGAGCCCAGAAGATTGTGAGTGAATCCCAGATCTCCAACCTTGAGCTACTTTGCTGGACTTTGGTTTTGCTTAAGTGTGCCAGATTCTTCCCTTTTGAATTGGAAATTTTAACTTGTTTTGAATTTTGTGGGAGCCCACAGTTAAGAGACTTTTAACATTTCAAGTGTTTGGATTTTTTAAAGACCGTGGGACTTTAAAGTTTTACTGTTTTATGTTATAATAGTAATGCTAACATGAGCTCTTGGGGATAAGAAATGGAAAGGTTGTGGTTTAAAATGATGTGTTTGTGTGTCAATTTGACAAGGGGTCAGTTGTGCTAGATAGCCTAGTTGTCAACTTGACACATCTGGGTAGAGGTATCCTCAATTGAGGAATTTCTTTCATTGGATTGACCCATGGCCATGTTTGTGGAACATTTTCTTGTTGAGTGATGGGGAGTGCCTAGCCCACTGTGGGCAGTGCCACCCCTAGACAAGTGATCCTGTATTATAGAAGAAAGTAGACTGAGCATGGGCCAGGGGAGCAAGCCAGTAAGCAGCATTCCTTCACTTTAAAATGATGTGTTTGTGTGTCAAGTTGACAAGGGGTCAGTTGTGCTAGATAGCCTAGTTGTCGACTTGACACATCTGGGTAGAGGTATCCTCAACTGAGGAATTTCTTTCGTTGGATTGACCCATGGCCATGTTTGTGGAACATTTTCTTGTTGAGTGATGGGGAGTGCCTAGCCCACTGTGGGCAGTGCCACCCCTAGACAAGTGATCCTGTATTATAGAAGAAAGTAGACTGAGCATGGGCCAGGGGAGCAAGCCAGTAAGCAGCATTCCTTCATAGTCTGTGCTCCAAGTACCTGCCCTGAGTTCCTGCCCTGACTTCCCTCAGTGATGAACTATAACCTGGGAGATATGAGATGAAATAAACCCTTTCTTCCACAAGTGTGGGAGACAGGCTTGAGCCTAGGGTGATATTGCAACTGTCAGGGGTCACATGGTTTCCAGGAATCCAGGCTCTGTAATCTGAAACCCAATATGCTAATGAGGCATCCTACCCTCTATTCTGTGATAGGACATTAAGTCTGTTATGCTAATAGGATGATGCTAATAAGGTATCCTACTTGCTGTACTGTGATATGATGCTAAACCTTTATGCTAACGAGGTATCCTACTTGCTGTGCTGTGATTGGACCACTATCCCTATATAAGCTTGTGCCTTCCTGCAATAAACCAGATCTGTGTCACTGAACCTGCAGGCAGAAGAGCGGCCTCAGCCCAGGGTGAGCAGAGGAGCAGCCTCAATGCCCGTGAGAATGAAGGTGGCACCCACAAGAATGGAGGAGCGCCCGCCGCTGGCAGTTACCACACACAAGTTGATTTTGGTCAGTGTTTTTATCATAGCAATAAAAAGAAACTAAAACACCAAGCTAACAGTCAACATTACTGACTATTATGAGTCAAGGGCTATTTTTGTATCACTCTATTTTTCCTTATAAAAACACCAAAGAGACAGCTATTTATATTATTACTCCTGTTTTACAGAAGAGACCTGTTCTTAGCCACTGTAAGCTTAGGTAGCTCAGCAGCAAGTGATCATGCCTTACTCATTCTCAGAGTATACCTCCTCCCCAGCCTTGTAAATTTCTACTTATCCTTTGAGACCCATGTCAAATACTTGTCTGTGAACATTTCAAATCTATCCTATAGGCTTGAGCCCAAACAGTACCCAGCCCCTAGCTTTAGTATTTCTCATTTCACCCTTTATAATATTTCTTAAAGTTATCTGTTTCTCTTACTGAATTATAAAGATCTTGTATAGCCCTTTGTTCCGAGATAAAACCCTCTTGGATGAAAAACTCCTTAAGACACAGGATGTTCTGAAGGAAAATGAAACATTCTGTCCTGTAGGGAACCAGGAAACTCAAGAAGTAAACAACTCAAAAGCTTTAGGAAGTTCCTGAAACTGACCAGCCACACTAAGCTCCTCTTTCTCTAAGTATATATAAGATTAAGGACTGCAGTGACTCTCAGACAACTTGAGCTGCCTGGAAGAGGCTCAGACCTACTGAGCTACCTGGGAAAAACATACATCCAAATTGCTGAGTTCCTTGTACGTTGTGCACTGAACTCCAGGTTTTCTGCTTTCATGAGCTGTCACCCATCTGGCTTCTGGTGATTCAGCTGTCTTTGAGTCATTTCTGCTCCTTCGTATTTAAATTTATTACTCCAATATACTTATTGGCTCACCAAGTTGGACTTTGGTGATATCCTTACTTTGATCTGTCATTGCTTCCTTATCAGGAATAGAGTCACCCAATGCTCAAGGGCAGGCTCTTACATTATTTACCTTTAAGACCTTCTCCTATGTGAGGAATATCTGGCCTTGTCTCAAGGCTCAGTTCTATCTACCATTTTGCTTCTTATCTTGGAATCATAATGTTCTGTTTCTTCACAGAGCTGGCAACTTTTCAATAAAATATTAAATTGTTACCAGTTTGTAGTGATTCAATTGTCTCATAAGCACCATGTAGCACAATGTACTGGGGAAAGTTTGTGTGTGTGCTTTTGTTTTCTTTTGTTTTGTTTGAGATTGGGGGGGTGACATTGAGAGGATCCTCCCTGTAACACTAGATGGCCTGGAACTCACTATGTGGACCAGCAGCCTGGCCTTAATCTCACAGAGATTCACCTGCATCTGCCACCTGAGTGGTGGGATTAAAGGCACGTACAACCACACTCAGCAATCAGGTATGTGCTTTTTGATATTGGAATTCACAAAAAGCCCATGGGTTTTTCCAAAGAAAGAACACACAAATTCTCTCCTCTGAAGATCTTGTTGAAAGATTATTTTAAGCCTTGGTAGAAAGGATCTATATTGAGCCTTACTTTAGATTGGCAGTCTTTTTCCTAAAGTGCAGCTTTTCTTCATCTTCCAAGATGTATTGTGAAGGTAATGACAATACAGAACCAAAATTCTATATTCTTGGGCACCATTCCTCCCAGAGGAATGAGCTATCTGGCAAGCTCAATCTCAAGGTTCTCCAAGATGAACTTTGTACTTGACAACATCATGTTTTAATGTCAAAAGGTTGAAAAATGTTTGTTAGTACCTGTTTCTCACTCTCTAGTGAATGAGAAGACTCTACCCTGCATATATATACCATATACAGTATATAGATTATATACCATATTCTATATACCATATATATACCATATTCTATAAACCATATATATGTATATGTATATATATGTGTGTGTGTGTGTGTGTGTGTATATA